AAAAAATTAGCCAGGCATGGTGGCACACACCTGTAGTCTCTGCTACTTGGGAGGCTGAGGTGGAAGAATTGCGTAAGTCCAGGAGGTTGAGGCTGCATTGAGCCATGTTCATTCCACTGTACTTCAGACTGGGTGACAGAGAAAGACCCCGTCTCTAAAAAAAAGTAAAAAATCAAAAGACACCGGCAACTATTTGGGGAAATCTGAATTTGGAATGGATGTTAACGACACTGGGGGATTATAGTTATTTTGTTTGTTTAAGACAGTCTCGCTCTGTCACCTAGGCTGGAGTGCAGTGCTACAGTCTTTGGTCACTGCAACCTCCACTTCTCTGACTCAACTGATCTTCCCACCTCAGCCTCCCAATTAGCTGGGATTACAGGCAAGCACCACCATGCCCAGCTAATTTTTGTATTTTTGGTACAGAAAAGGTTTCACCGTGTTGCCCAGTCTGGTCTTGAACTACTGGGTGCAAGCTATCCACCAGCCTCAGCTTCCCAAACTGTTGGGACTACAAGTGTGAACCAACATGGCAGGCCAGATTATAGTTATTTTTGTGAAATATGATAAACTTACTGTGGTTGTGTAGAAAAAGGCCTTCTTTTTAGGGGCGATGTATGCAAACATTTAGGAGTGAAATGTCTTGACATTTGTAATATACTTTAAAATAGTAATTGTAAAGCAAAAGATGTTAATTATGGATGTTAATTACATGGATATTATGGCCTTTTTTCCTGCTTTTCTTGAATAAAGCTGTGTTTCTACATTCACTGTATATGTATGTAAGCAGGAAAACTACATGTATGGTGACTATAGCTGGTTAGCTCCAGGGAAGACTAGAATTGGACACATGGGTAAAAAGGCAGATCAAACAAGATCGGCAAGAAAACAGAAACACAGCAGAATACGCAGATGGTGCACCAACCTTAACATATTCAACCGCTCTTGGAGAAAAATCACAGGCATAGGCAAAGATATTCGGATCTTCTTCTAAAAGTGGGAATAAACAGTTTCCAACCCCACAGCCAGCTTCAAGTATTGTTAACTTTTGATCTTCAAACTGGGGAAAGATAGCTCAAAGTTATAGCACATTACATTTGCATAATGAAGAAATAAACCAAACTAAAAGGTCCAGAATATGCGAGGTCTCTGACCCCATGAAGGAGACCATCAACAAGTGAACTAATAAGCAAAAGCTATTACTGGTACTTCATTTGTCATCCAACATTAACAGTTTGGTGTGGAGGAAAAAAACAGCACAATAGCTCCGGAATTAAACTGCCAGCACTCAAATCTCAACTCCTCCCCTGCATTCTATCCTTGGGCAAATCACTTAAACAGCTCTGTGCCTCAATTTTACCTTGGGGACAAATGAGTACAATACTAATACTTATACTTCACAGAGCCGGTATAAGGGTCAAATGATAGGACACGTAGAAAAGAGCCATGGTAAATAGTTCACTAACATGAACTATTATTATTATTATTATTTTTAGTATGTCACTGAAGTCACTCAGTATGAATTTATATTTTGGTTTTTAAATTTTTAATGTTTAAATTTTTAAAAATTCAGAACATACGGTCTCACTATGCTGCCTAGATGGCTAATTCACGTTGGCTATTCACAGGCACAACCCGCCTGCCTGAGCCTCTCGATTAGCTGGTGATAGCCACCATACCTGGCTCTTGAATTTAATATATAATGTTTACAACTATCAGATCAACTTAAAGAAATAGAAAACGTCCACTAAAGTTCTCTTTCCTATATGTTAACCAAATCAGAAACTGCTAAAACTTTGACGTTAAGACCGAACAGTATATACCTCTCCTAAAATGCAAAGCATTTTGATAGGCTTCTTTAATTCTCTGCTTCGCACTCTCCCTAGGAATGCAATACACAGCACACCTCTTCACATTTTTTTTTTTTTTTTTTTTTTTTTTCCAGATTCTAGTTTGTTCGCCAGGTTGGAGTGCAATGGCGCGATCTCGGCTCACTGCCGTCTCTGCCTCCCGAGTTCAAGCCATTCTCCTGCCTCAGCCTCCCAAGTAGCTGGGACGATAGGCGTGCACCACCACACCTATCAAATTTTTGTATTTTTAGTAAAGACAGGGTTTCATCATGTTGGCCAGGATAGTCTCAATCTCTTGACCTCGTGATCCGCCTGCCTTGGCCTCCCCAGGTACTGGGATTACAGGCATGAGCCACCGCACTGGGCCCTCTTCACATTTTAAATTAAGAACAGCTCAGATAAGGCGTAATATTAGCTTACCTCTCTACATGATCTTAGCTCCTCAAACTCTCTGGTGGTCCAGTGTCTGTCTTTGAAGAAATTAGTGCTATTTCTTTTGTAAAAAAGATCCCAGTTTTTCTGAGCCTCTTGTTCCAATTTGTGCTGTTTAAAATCAGACACCAAAGTTTGGTCTCTTTTCAGTTTCTCCTCTTCTTCAGAGCTGAGAACCCTTGCCTGCAGCCCCTTCCTTGGCAAAGAAGTCATCTCAGAAACTGAAGGTAACACTTAACACAGCTGAAGATTCTCCATCCCCAAATAATATGAATCCATGCTAACGGATCAGATGCATTTCCTCAGGTGAGTTTCACGCCTCAAACAGCACAGGGGCTTCGCAGACAAAAGAATGAGATTCTGGTTAGTGGTTCTAGAACGGTTCAAGACGCCAGGTTCAATTCACCAAATGTTTATGAGATGCAGACTGTACAAAAAAAAAATCCTCCCCGCCATATGAGAGGTCACAAAGAAGACAAAGACAACAGTCCCTAACTTCAGAGGGCTTAAACTCATTCAGTGGCCAGGACTATCTCATGCACCATACTTTTATTCAAACCAGATGAGTCAACTATTACAATAAATCGATTTAGTTTAGAAAAAAAAAGGACGCTGTCACGAACTGACTGGGAAACCTTGCGAAGAAAATATTACTCAATTTTCGATGCCCGCGAAAGGGGTGACTTAAAAACCACAATGGACTTAGCTGGAAGCGGGTGGTCAATTGCCAGATACAAGTGAGGTCACCGTTTCCCAAGGGTCGGAGCTCCGTTTTTTCGGGGGAAATGAAGCTAAGCCTGGGTGGGCTCATTTCCTGACCGCACTCACAAGAGGCTGTCGTAGGAACCAGAGGGAACGTCACTTTTCAGGGACTGAGGCCCTCGCACCGCCATCACCGCGCAAAGTGGAGAAAGAGACCCAGTGACGCGTGGCTGAGGTCCCGAGGATCCATCTCAGGACACTCAGGATAGACTAGGCCGCATGGGCCCCTGGACCCTGAGGAGGGCGTCCATGATGGCTAGCCGACCCGCGTTAATCTAGTCAGCCAC